ATGGATGATTGGAGGGAGGGAGGGAAGGAAGATTGGAGGAGGAAGGGGAAGGCGGGAAGGAGAAGGGAAAGATATGAGGAGGGAGGGAAATGGAGGAAGGAAGGGAAGGAAAAGAAAGGGGTGGGTGGAGAGAAGGGTGGATGGATGGAGAGAAGGAAGGGAAGGGTAGGGGGGAGGGAGGAGAGAGGGAGGGGAAAGGAAAGGGAAGGGGCGAAAGATTGAGGGGAGGGAAATGGAGAAGGAAGGGAAGGGAAAGATAGGGGGAGTACAGGGAGGGGAAAAGGAGGAGAGAAATGAAAGAAGGAAGGGAAGGGAAAAAGAAGGTGAGATGAAGGGAGGGAGTGTGGGGGGAAGGAAGAAAGGAGGGGTTTAGTGAGTAAGGGAGAGAGGGAGGGAAGAAGTAAAGGAGGGTAGGAGGGAGGGAGGGAGGAAATTAGGAAGAAAGGAAAGATGGAACGGAGGAAGGAAAGACGGAAGGAAGGGAGGGAGGAAAAGGAGAGAAGAGATAGAGCGAAGGAGGGAAGTTAAATGGAAAGATAGCCGGAAGAGGGTGGGATGAATAAAGAGAAGACGGGAAGGAATAACAAACAAGGGTGAGAAGAGAAGGATGAAGGAAAGGAGGATGAAGAGGTGAGAAGGAGATGGAGAGAGAGAGAAACTGGGAAGCAAGGAGAGAGGGAAGGAGGGAGTAATTGAGTATGTGAGTGAGTGAATGAGTGAATGAGGAAGAGAGAGTAAAAATGAGGGAAAGGGAGAGAGATGGAGAGGGGAGAGAGAGAAATGAGGTAAAGAAAAGAGAAGAGAGAGAGAGAGAGAGAGAGAGAGAGAGAGACTGGGAGAGGAGAATGGAGAGGGTGAAAGAGAGAGAATGAGGAAAGAGAAAGAGAGAGGGAAGGTAAAAAAAGAGGGAGAGTGAAAGAGAGACGAGGGTGGAGAGGGAGAAAGAGAGAAATGAGGGAAGAGAAAGAGAGAGAGAGAGGGAGATGAAAGAGAGGGGGAATGGAGAGGGGAAAAGAGAGGATGAGATGAAGAGAAAGATAGAAGTAGGAATAGAGAAGGGAAGAGAAATAGAGGGTAAGAGAAAGAGCGAAAGGGGAATACACACTCACACACACGCACACACACATATATATACATACATATAACACACACATATATATAGAATATACATGCCAATAATTGTGTGAGTGAATTTACATAACAGAGTGTCCTTCACTTAACAGGAC